ACTGCTTAGCTGGTATTGCACCACCTGACATCCGCCAGGAAGTAGCAGCCAATAGTGAAAGAACCAAGGCAGAGACATCTCCATCCCATCCCTTGTTTGGGTATCAGCCAGCACATCAACGACTTAAATCAAGAAATAGTTTTTTTAGATCTACAGTACAGAGACACTCGCTGGAACACCTCAGCAAGCGAGAGTTCAAAAGTGGCAGGCTCAAACCCAGCACCTCAATCCGTGGGTGATACCAGATGAGAGACTCCCCCCTGGGCACACAGAAGACTGTGCGACTTGGAAGGCGCTGAACAGACTGCGCTCTGGCACCACGAGATGCAGAGCCAATCTTAAGAAATGGGGTTACAAAGTGGAATCCTTGACATGCGAGTGCGGAGAGGAGCAAACCACTGACCACCTGCTGCAATGCACCCTGAGCCCTGCTACATGCACAAGGGAGGACCTTCTTGCGGCAACACCAGAAGCACTCCAAGTGGCCAGATACTGGTCAAAGGACATTTAATCAGCTACCAAGTTTGCAAAATTTCTGGGTTTTTTTATCTGTTTGTTTGTTTTGTTCTGTTAGAAATGTAATACAATGATCTGGTTGCGGATGACACGATAAATATATATATCAAGAGAATCAAGGTTAAACGAATCAGGACATCATTCCTGGGAGTAGCTGGATCATTGCTTGCACCTCATCCCCATTGATTTGGAGAAGAACTTGGAAGAGCATCAAGGGGAACGAGGGATACCTTTTGTGAGATGCTTCATAACCATGTAACCGAATCGAGCGTCTGCTTAAAAACGGCACACCCAGCACTGCAGTCCTGCCAAGAAATGTTTGAGTAGTTAACAGTTGGCATTGACCATGTGCATCACCAAAAAAAAATAAAAATAAAAAAAAAAAGGTCATCAAGGGTGCATCTACAGTATAGAATTAATGCAGTTTGATACCACTTATGGCTTAAGGCAGTGTTTCTCCACCTGGAAGTCAGAACCCTTGGGGGTCGTCTCGAGGAGGGTTTCCATAAGGGTCGCTAATGACCACCAGAAAACACATATTTCTAATGGTCTTAGGAACCCTTTTGGTAGAGAAGGCTGAAGATCTCTCTGCCTGTCCTTCTCATCCTTTTTGGTGTTGGTGAACTACAACTCCCAGAATTCAAAAACAGACACCCCCCAACCTCACCAGTATTCAATGCTGGTCATGTAGATAGTGTGCCAAGTTTGGCGCAGAACCATTGCGGGCTGAGTTCAGAATGCTCTTTGATTGTAGGTGAACTATAAATCCCAGCAACTACAACTCCCAGATGTCAAGGTTTATTTTCCCCAAACTCCACCAGTGTTCACATTTGAGAATATTGAGTATTTATGTCAAGTTTGTTCCAGATCCATCATTGTTTATTTATTTATTACATTTATATTCCGCCCTTCTCACCTCGAAGGGGACTCAGAGTGGAGCACAGCATATTCAGAATGCCCTGTGATTGTGGGTGAACTATAAATCCTAGCAACTACAACTCCCAAATGTCAAGAATCTATTTTCCCCAAACTCCACCAGTGTTCATATTTGGGCATATTGAGTATTCGTGTAGAGTTTGGTCCAGATCCATTATTGTTTGAGTCCACAGTGCTCTCTGGTTGTAGGTGAACTAGAAATAACAAAAAGCATTACACCCTTTGCATTAACTGGGAGTGGCGGCGGAATAATGATGTTTCCTGCTGCCTTGCTGTCCGGATGTTGCCTCTGAGCCCAAGCGCTTTGTTTTCCAGTGGGTTTTGGACCCGCCGTGTTTTATCCCAACGTGCGCTGGGTTTTAATCTCTGTGTACACATGCTCGCAATTAACTGTGTGGAAGTATTTATTGTTTCCGAAGGTCTTGCTAATAAGATGGATCATAAACTTTTAAAGGCGGGCCAGCAAGCTGGGCCGGGGTCCCAATGCGAACGCTGGGGCTGAACCGCAAATCCTTGGAGAAAGGCAATTTGCTATGGGATCTCGTCCTATTGCTGTTGACAAAGCCCAGTTTCTGAATGGATTTGGATGGCTTTAACAAGCATCAAATGCCAAGGATCTTCTGGATTCTTCCAGTTTAGATGTCCTCCGTTCTGGTGCCATTGGGGAAAGTTTGCAAGTGGGGCAAAGTCAATTTAGTATGTTGGTGAACATTGTGGGGACACTGGATTGCTGTGAGTTTTCTGGGCTGTCTAGCCATATTACAGAAGCATTCTCTCCTGATGTTTCTCCCACATCTATGGCTGGCATCCTCAGAGGTTGTGCAGTCTGTTTGAAACTAGGCAAGTAGAGTTTATATTTCTGTGGAATAATGTCCAGAGTGGGAGAAAGAACTCTTGTCTGTTTGAGGGAAGTGTGAATGTTGCAATTGGCCAGCTTGATTAGCACTGAATAGCCATGCTGCTTCAAAGCCTGGCTGCTTCCTGCTTGTGGAGACCACTGACGATGGATTCAAAGTGAGCCTGTGTTTCCTTGGCCATGTAGATTCACTCCTGAACATGCAAAATCAGCAACGTGATGGACTCAACTTACCTAAAATTGGGATGGCTCAGCATGTTAATATACTTTCACAGTTGCGTTATTGGGCACTTCTATACGTTGCTAGTAAAGTGACCCATTTAAGGTGGATTCAGGTGTCAAACAAGGATGCGTTATTGCCTCAAACTTATGTTTGACAGATGAGAGAGATGGGCCAAAACTAACAAAATGAAGTTCAACAGTGACAAATGTAAGATACTCCACTTTGGCAGGAAAAACGAAATGCAAAGATACAAAATGGGGGACGATGCCTGGCTGGAGAGCAGTACATGTGAAAAAAATCTTGGAGTCTTTGTGGACAAGAAGTTCAACATGAGCCAAAAATGTGATGTGGCGGTAAAAAAAGCCAATGGGATTTTGGCCTGCATCAATAGGAGCCTAGAGTCTAGATCTAGGGAAGTCATGCTACCCCTCTATTCCGCTTTGGTTAGACCACACCTGGAATATTGTGTCCAATTCTGGGCACCACAATTCAAGAGAGATATTGACAAGCTGGAATGTGTCCAGAGGAGAGCGACTAAAATGATCAAGGGTCTGGAGAACAAGCCCTATGAGGAGCGGCTTAAGGAGCTGGGCATGTTTAGCCTGGAGAAGGCTGAGAGGGGATATGATAGCCATGTATAAATATGTGAGAGGAAGCCACAGGGAGGAGGGAGCAAGCTTGTTTTCTGCTTCCCTGGAGACTAGGACGCGGAACAATGGCTTCAAACTACAAGAGAGGAGATTCCATCTGAACGTGAGGAAGAACTTCCTGACTGTGAGAGCCGTTCAGCAGTGGAACTCTCTGCCCCGGAGTGTGGTGGAGGCTCCTTCTTTGGAAGCTTTTAAACAGAGGCTTGGATGGCCATCTGTCAGGGGTTGATTTGAATGCAATATTCCTGCTTCTTGGCAGGGGTTGGACTGGATGGCCCATGAGGTCTCTTCCAACTCTTATTCTATGATTCTATGAATAATAATAATATTCGCCAATACATCACAAAGTCCTAGACACTTGGGAAGTGTCCGACGTATGATCCAAGGAGCAGCTTTCACGTTTCCTGTGAGAACAAGATTTCTATTATTATTATTATTATTATTATTATTATTATTATTATTATTATTTGAAACACAACAAGATGAGTCCACAGTAGACACTCTGCTGGCTGTTGAATTGGATCACCCATAGAATCATAGAATCAAAGAGTTGGAAGAGACCTCATGGGACATCCAGTCCAACCCCATTCTGCCAAGAAGCAGGAATATTGCATTCAAATCACCCCTGACAGATGGCCATCCAGCCTCTGTTTAAAAGCTTCCAAAGAAGGAGCCTCCACCACACTCCGGGGCAGAGAGTTCCACTGCTGAACGGCTCTCACAGTCAGGAAGTTCTTCCTCATGTTCTATGATTCTATGTGGAATGTGCTTTTAATCTATGACAAAACAGTAAAAATGAAGCCCCTTTGCATACATCCCTTTGAAGTTTGCACTAAAACCCATATTGGATTCTTTGCCACTGTATCCCTTATGTATTCCCAGCGCTTGCAGTTCTGCCTCCATTCAGAAAAATGCTTCCTCCCTCGAGAAACATAACAAGATGGATTAGTTTGGTTCTTTGGGAAAAAAAGAAAGGAAAGGAAACTCACCATTTGTGGATTCCGCTGACCTGCTGGGTGTCTGGAGGATTCAAACAGGACAGGGCTGAAGACGAATGAGGCTGGGTTTCTGTAAGGCTTTTGTGTGCAGGTCTCCGAGTTTCCCAACCAGACGTGATGTTCCCCTTCCTTTTGACTTTTCCCTTCCCACCATTTTGCTGTTTCTATCCTTTGTCAAGAATGTGCTTTTGTTTGTCAACCCAATGCGCCTTTTTCCTACCCAAGTCCCCAATGTGGCTGTGCACTTTATTTATTGTGTCATCAGCAACCATACCATTGTATTACAATTCTAACAGAACAAAACAAACACACAGATTAAAAAGAAAAAGAAAAAAAAACACACAGATTTTGCAAACTTGGTAGTTGGTTAAATGTCCTTTGACCAGTATCTGGCCACTTGGAGTGCCTCTGGTGTTGCCGCAAGAAGGTCCTCCATTGTGCATGTGGCAGGGCTCAGGTTGCATTGCAGCAGGTGGTCCAGGGAAATTTTATGTGAAGTTTCTACTTGGTGATGACCTTCCCCAGTCCAACCCCCTGCCAAGAAGCAGGAAAATCGCATTCAAAGCACCCCTGACAGATGGCTATCCAGCCTCTGCTTAAAAGCCTCCAAAGAAGGAGCCTCCACCACACTCCGAGGCAGAGAGTTCCACTGCTGAACAGCTCTCACAGTTAGGAAGTTCTTCCTCATGTTCAGATGGAATCTCCTCTTCTTGTAGTTTGAAGCCATTGTTCCGCGTCCTAGTCTCCAAGGAAGCAGAAAACAAGCTTGCTCCCTCCTCCCTGTGGCTTCCTCTCACATATTTATACATGGCTATCATATCCCCTCTCATCCTTCTCTTCTTCAGGCTAAACATGCCCAGCTCCTTAAGCCGCTCCTCATAGGGCTTGTTCTCCAGACCCTTGATCATTTTAGTCGCCCTCCTCTGGACACATTCCAGCTTGTCAATATCTCTCTTGAATTGTGGTGCCCAGAATTGGACACAATATTCCAGGTGTGGTCTAACCAAAGCAGAATAGAGCATGGGTAGCATGACTTCCCTAGATCTAGACACTATGCTCCTATTGATGCAGGCCAAAATCCCACTGGCTTTTTTTTTTGCCGCCACATCACATTGTTGGCTCATGTTTAACTTGTTGTCCACGAGGACTCCAAGATCTTTTTCACACTTACTGCTCTCGAGCCAGGCGTCACCCATTCTGTATCTTTGCATTTCATTTTTTCTGCCAAAGTGGAGTATCTTGCATTTGTCACTGTTGAACTTCATTTTGTTAGTTTTGGCCCATCTCTCTAATCTGTCAAAATCGTTTTGAATTCTGCTCCTGTCCTCTGGACTATTGGCTATCCCTCCCAATTTGGTGTCGTCTGCAAACTTGATGATCATGCCTTCTAGCCCTTCATCTAAGTCATTAATAAAGATGTTGAACAGGACCGGGCCCAGGACGGAACCCTGCGGCACTCCGCTCATCACTTCTTTCCAGGATGAAGAGGAAGCATTGGTGAGCACCCTCTGGGTTTGTCCATTTAACCAATTACAGATCCACCTCACCGTAGTTTTGCCTAGCCCACATTGGACTAGTTTCCTTGCCAGAAGGTCATGGGGGACCTTGTCGAAGGCCTTACTGAAATCCAGGTACGCTACATCCTCGGCATTCCCCGCATCTACCCAGCTTGTAGCTCTATCGAAGAAAGCAGGTGATCAGTGGTTTGCTCTTCTCCACACTCACATGTCGTGGATTCCACTTTGTGGCCCCATTTCTTGAGGTTGGCTCGGCATCTCGTGGTGCCAGAGCGCAGTCTGTTCAGCGCCTTCCAAGTCGCCCAGTCTTCTGTGTGCCCAGGGGGGAGTCTCTCATTTGCTATCAGCCATTGATTGAGGTTCTGGGTTTGAGCCTGCCACTTTTGGACTCTTGCTTGCTGGGGTGTTCCAGCGAGTGTCTCTGTAGATCTTAGAAAACTATGTCTTGATTTAAGTCATTGACGTGCTGGCTGATACCCAAACAGGGGATGAGCTGGAGATGTCACTGCCTTGGTCCTTTCACTATTGGCTGCTACTTCC